TTGCATTTTTTTTCTCCTCCATCTGCTCCAGGCTGTTCATGCAAACACGTGATGATGTGGACACTGAGAAGGGGGATAAGAGGAACACAGGAGAAGATGGTGTTAACAGAAGAAGAGACAGTGGGGATAAACCTGGGATAACACAAAAAAATAGAAGCAAGTAAAAATGAGAGAGACATACACATTGACAGAGAGGGAAAAACAGAATGAGAGAGATGTGTACAGGGGAACATTGGTACGGGAGAACATCGGTACTGGAGAACATGGGTACTGGAGAACATGGGTACTGGAGAGCATCGATACTGGAGAACATAGGTACTGGAGAACATCGGTACTTGATAACATAGATATTGGAGAATATTGGTACTGGAGAGCACAGGTACTGGGAAACATAGGTACTGGAGAACATAGGTACTGGATAATATAGGTACTGGGAAACATAGGTACCGGAGAACATAGGTACTGGATAATATAGGTACTGGGAAATATAGGTACCGGAGAACACAGGTACTGAATAATATAGGTACTGGGAAACATASGTACTGGAGAACACAGGTACTGGAGAATATAGGTACTGGGAAACATAGGTATTGGATAACACAGGTACAGGGGAAGATAGGTACTATAGGGAAGATAGGTACTATGGAACACAGGTGGGGAAGATTGGTACTAGGGAAGATAGGTACTATGGAACACAGGTGGGGAAGATTGGTACTAGGGAAGATAGGTACTATGGAACACAGGCACTGGAGAATATAGGTACTGGGAAACATAGGTACTGGAGAGCACAGKTAATGGGGAACACAGGTWCTAAGGTACTGGGGAAGATAGATACTATGGAAGATAGGTACAGGAGAACAGAGGTACTGGGGAACACAGGTTCTAAGGTACTAGGGAACACAGGTACTGGAGAATATAGATACTGGGAAACATAGGTACTAGAGAACACAGGTACTGGGGAAGATAGGTACTGAAGAATATAGGTACTGGGAAACATAGGTACTGGATAACACAGGTACTGGGGAARATAGGTACTATAGGGAAGATACAGTAGGTAATGTGGAACACAGGTACTGGAGAATAGAGGTAGTAGGGAACACAGGTACTGGAGAATACAGGTACTGGGAAACATAGGTACTGGAGAACAGAGGTACTGGGGAACACAGGTTCTAAGGTACTAGGGAAGATATATACTATGGAAGATAGGTACTAGGGAACACAGGTACTGGAGAATATAGGTACTGGGAAACATATGTACTAGAGAACACAGGCACTGGGGAATATAGGTACTGGGAAACATATGTACAAGAGAACACAGATACTGGAGAACAGTTACTGGGGGAGATAGGTACTAGGGAACACAGGTACTGGTGAATAGAAGTACTGGCGAACACAGTTACTGGAGAATATAGGTACTGGGAAACATAGGTACAGAAGAACACAGGTACTGGGGAATATAGGTTCTAGAGCAGGGGTTCCCAAACTTTTTATCTTCTGACCCACAAAATATTCATAACAAAAACTTGTGACCCCAAATATTAATGATCTGAGTAAACAAACTTTCATAATAACCCTTAAAACAATGGCTACACAAATATAAATATGTATTTATACTTATTTTGTGTTTTTGTAATAAGTATAGGGAAAACATTACATCACCAATTATTTTAGTACCCTTTAAATTGATTTCTGAAGTGCAGTGGTTCCCAAACTTTTCAGCTTTTGACCCACAGAATAACAGTAGCAGAGACCTGTGCCCACAACTATTGTTGGATGATATTGTATCAGGTTAACTAAACATGGGCATAGTAACAATATTTATTATTCTACATTTATACATTTTAGGTAACTAAGGCAAAAATGTAATTAATTGAGAAAATCTTTTCAGGACCTCACCTTGATGTTTCAGGACCCCACTTTGGGTCCCGACCCCAACTTTGGGAACCACTGTTCTAGAGAACATAGGTACTGGGGAATAGGGTTGCATAACATATCAAAAATGTATTGTGTTAACAGCCTGTGCAGTAAGCAGAGGTCTATACAGTACTTGAAAAAAATAACTAAGTAAAAATAAAATTACATAGACAGAAAATGACTTTGGTAAAAACAAATTTCACTGATGAGAAAACTACTCAGGTGAAAGTCACAAAACTGTTCACAGAAAATGGGAAGGTAAAAGTAAAAGTACTTTTACACACTCTTTAAGAAATAAACTGTTGAATTTACTGAACCAAACTGGTTTCACTAAGTCAGTTTAAGTAAATTGAGCTATATATGTACTGTATATTCGGCTTAGTGGAGCCAGTTGACATGACTTTGTTGAGTAAATTCAACACTTTTTTTTATAGCTCATAAACAACTTCTTTCACAATGAGTTCCAACATATTTTATTTGTAATGAGTAACTAGATGTTACAATTTAAAGTAAAGACGTAAAAGTATCATTTTTAGCTTTAAAATGTTACGAAATAAAAGTAAAAGTAGCTATTTAAAAAATCATTGGTAAAATTACAAATCCTCAAAAAAAAAAAAAACTACTTAAGTACTGTAATAAAGTAAATGTACTTTTCTACTATAAACCTCTGGCAGTAAGCATAGTGCTTAAACTTCAATAAAGGGTTAGCCTAATGTTTGCATTTGCTGTATGACAATCACATTGAATCTTGCTGTATTTTACTAATCAAATAGAGTCCTTCACAATTGGACAAGTGGAAGGATCTCTATACAGTATTAGATGCCTCACGTAGACACGGGTGGACAGCAAACAACTGAGCAAGCTTAGAGAGTGTTCGATGTGGCTGAGAGCAAGATAAGTGAGGAAAATGCTAGCAACAAGGAACTCGAGGTTATAAAACAGCACGTCGCTTATTTGGACATATTTTGGTTTTAATAGAAACTACGTTATTCAAAAACAGGTAGCAACACATACAGAAAACTAGTGGCCACCACAAAAGAAAACACAACTAATCTCCATTGTCACCGTCAACACAACCATGAAGACCTTTATGAAAGATTCATAAAAGCTCTGCTAGCAAAACCAAAGCTGCAAATGTTAGCACAAGTAAGAGCGGAGCCGATGTCTGTGTACCAGAGTTTTGAATGTAGAACATCTCCTTATGAGAAAACATTGAAGTGGTACAAAGAAATAACTGAGGTCATTGCACAATTTTTGGCTAAGGATATGATGACCACTAATAGAGTGAGCTGAGAGGGCTTTACCAGTCTAATAAACAAATTAGAGCAGAGATACCACATGAAATCATAAACACTTGGTCAGTGGAGAAAATATCACATCTTTATCACAATATTAAGCACTTGTTATCCCACATCTCAGGTTTTCTTTATACCGTGCAGCCCTACTGGGGACATAAATACGGAGAAGCACTGGAGAACATTGAAACAAGGGAACATAAGGTATGGACCTGAAGAATAATGGAGCTCATGCTCCAGTAGAAGTGAAGTCATGCAAGGGATGCACAGCTTTCTCTTCTGCCTGAACAGCTCCAGTGTAGACACAATGAATGGTTTTTAAGCRTTACACCTGAAGCACAACATCACGAACAAAGACACAAAGGAGACACAAAACATTTTTTTAACCCCTGATCTGCCCCATAATGTCAAGATCTGTATCTTGGTTTTATTTGGTACTCTTATTCTTTTTGGGTCATTAGGTTTATTATTTGTGTTTTTTTTTTTATTCTTGTTTAGTTATGTTGCTTAAACTGCTTCACAGTGCAGAAGTTAAAAGGGACAGTAAGGTTTTAAGATTAAACATAAAAAGGCTCTGGTCAGTGATGGAGTGCAAGTTGTGAGAAAGCTGGTTCCACAGTTTGGATGCAGCCATCCCCAATGTTTGTATTTGGACCTTGATACAAACCGTAAAGATGCATCAGCTCATACTCACGGAAACTAAACAAGATGTGGCAAGACCATTAACAGCTTTAAAAGTTAACGATAAAAGCTTATAGTAAATCAATTCTAAAGTGTGCTGGAAGCCTATGGAGAGAGAAAAAGAAGGGTGACTGTGTTAAGTCAGGAGGTGGAGGCTAACTTCCACCATATTGAGAATACAGTCAGCCTGTCATGCTCATTTATACCTGTTCTCTATTTCTCCAGTCACAGCTGCAGCCACTTTGCCCATCAATCTATATAATCTTTCAGTTTCACTTCATTCACTAGTCAAACTTTGGTGGCTCTCTTGTCATGTTCAGTTTTTCCTGTCTTTTTATGTATTTCTGATCTGATCTTCAGTTTTTGTAAGTCTTTTTGTTTCTGCCACATTATAAAGTTAATTTTATTTTGGAGCTCCTCAAGTCAGTTGGTATTTCTGGGTAGTGGTAAAAATGCAGCTATGATGGTGCTCATCAGACACTCATTTCGTATTTCCTGCATTTAAGAAACACTCAGCACTGTGTCATCATGACACGAATAAAAGAAACAAAGTGGAAGTTTTAAAGCAACCAGCTTCAATGAGCAAATAAAAGCAAACAAACTTTCAGAGCTGTAAATGTAAGKTTAGTTAAATGGATTTGTTTTAGAAGCCTTTTTTCAGTGTTGATAAAAGAGGACCAGCGTTCACAACCAGGCTCAATGTCATCTTCAGGACGAGGTCAGGTTGGGTCTAATGCATTTATTGTTCTAAAAGTCATGTTTTAAACTTGTTTCTGCAAAAATATGTAGTAGATGGTAAATGTGTTGATTGTGGAAATGTGAATAAAAATACCCAAATTACTGGAAATTTTACATTTTTTTCAGAATATGCAATAAAATAAAACAACATCCGACTACATATTTTCAGTTTTTATGTGTAAACGAAAACTTAAAGAAGTGGTTCCCAAGATGTTGGAAATCACTGACCAATATTAAAAAAATTATGAGTAAAAAAAAAACAAATCAAACTTTGTCCAGAGTAGCATTTAATGTTTACACAAGAAAATTTCAGCTGAAATGAAACGCCGTGAGTTTAGGAAACATCAGTGAGTTTTTGGTGGGAGGACCAACCTGTATAGTTGTTGGTGATGATCTGAGTTTGCATCTCTGCCAGAGCCTCCGTTGGCTCCTCCGTTGGTGCTTCTGTTGGGTTCTGGGCTTCAGTCTGCAGGTCTGGCTGCAGCGGTACCGTGGTGTTGGCCCAGTTCTCCGGCATCGTGGTGACCTGTGGGTCCTCAGGGCTCAGAGTGGAACCCCTCACTGTGACCAGAGAACAGAGCAGAGGGCACAGCAGCATCCAGAGGTGGGYGCCACTTGATCCTTCCTTCAGAGGCATGGTGTCGGGTGGAAAAGCTCTGCAAGGAGAGAAGGAACTCAGTGCCTCATGGTCGGGAAAAAAGTGTTCGTTTGCTCGTTTTTTACTGTCCTGTGTTCTTGTCTGTACTTTTCCTCATGCTCTTTGTGAAGGGTTAGTAAGCTCCGTCTGTGTTTGCCCTCATGATATGGTCCTGCTGAGCTGGAGTGAGAAGTGTGAGTTCACTTCTTTGTGTTTGAGATAGRTCCAGCTGTAATCTGTCTGCTCTCTGCTCACTTGCTGTTATTTTCTCCCCTGCCTCCTCCTCCTCCTCTTCGTCACTAAGCTCACTCATTTGCTTCGCTGCTTACTCTCCCTCACTGATCTCCAACTGGGCTCACTGAGCTCTTGCATAACAGTAGCTCGTTTGCTGAGCTGTAACTCATGCAACCTTAAGTCCCGATATTCCTGGCTGCTCCTTTTTTCTTGTTCTCTCTTGCAGAACTCTTTTGTACAGGACATAACGTATTTGCGACTTTTTGCACAAGTCCAACATTTTTGCAACACAAGACCGAGGTCCAGTGTTTCATGCAAGGAAATTAGGAACTCTTAAACATTTAAGGACATTTTGTAAACTTTCTCTGGAATGACAATTGCAGTTTTTCACTAGGAGTTGCAACTCATAATGCTTTAACGTTCTTTTCACAATTAACGAAGGTACCTCAGCGCCACACTCATATGTCAGCTACAAATTCCCTTGTCAATCCTAATCCTTGACAGACTCCCATAATAACACCATGGCTCTGCCCCTGTATGACCCACTGAAATCTCAGGATGCAGCAACACAATGCTATCGCCATATTTGAGTGTGATACGGTTGTCACCTGGACATGAGGCCGGTGTGACCAGTCCGTCTTGACAGCAGTGGGACACCAGTGACCAGCAGATCCCACGTCACATCACATGACAGGCTGCCACCAGGATAATAAACCTTATCCACCCAATCAACCCACCTTATGTCACACTTTATTATGGTTTATCAAGCTTTTCTGTCACTCACCATCAGGTTATCATATGTCAGTTCTATACCGCTCTGTTATGGTCTGATACACTCTGTTGCACTCACACTATCATGCTCAGTCACTATTTTTCATTCTCTGTCTATGCTCTATAATGCTTTATCGCACTTTTTTTTATCACCCCATCACACCTAATCAAATCTATCACGCTCTGTTATGTGCTATTACATTTTATTACACAATAATCCTTTACATCACAACTCTTCCATCTGACCTAATTATGGTCTATCATTATATATAATAGAATTTAGTACTCTGTTACACTGTATCATACTTTATCACACAATCATTCTCCATCAAATTTTATCGCACTTTATCACACTATGTCACACTATAACTCTGTCATTCTCTATCACACTTTATCACCATTTCTCACACTTTATCATACTGTCACTTTCAGTCATTCTCCATCACACTTTATTACACTTCATCATACTATCACTCTGTCATCCCCTATCACACTTTATGACACTTTATCACACTATATCACACTATCACTCTCAGTCATTCTCTATCACACATTATCACACTTTATCATACTATGACTCTCAGCCATTCTCTATCACCCTTTATTACACTTTATCACATTTTATCACACTATCACTCTCAGTCATTCTCTATTACACTTTATAACACATTATCACACTATATTACATTATCACTCTCAGTCATTCTCTATCACACTTTATTACACATTATCACACTATATCATACTGTCACTCTGAGTCATTCTCCATCACACTTTATTACACTGTATCACACAACCACCAACAGTTATTTTCTATCACACTTTATTGCGCTACATCACACTTTATCACACTATCACTCTCAGTCACAGTCTATCATGTTCTATTAAATTGTCACTGTCTCACATTTTCACACCCAGTCATGTTTTATTATGATCTATCACTCTTAGTCACACCAAGTTAGTTTGTTGCACTTTACCACACTGTCATGCTTTGYCACTATGCAGTTTTACCTATCAGTGCCTGTAGCTGACCAAACCTTGTTCTGAACTATAAAATTAAAATAGTCTTGATTTAAAAAACAGTTCATTGTGTTATGAAAAATAATTTTAATGGCATGTATTTAACATTTAATTAAATTGCAGGCAATGCCAATCAGTTAATAGTTTCCCTTTATAAGCTGATTTTTATTACTTTTGATGGATAGTTGCATACGTATGTCATAGCTTGATGAGAAATTAATGTTTTGTGGGTTATTTTAATATTTTTGGATCATTTTCTGACTGATCTAGCTTTCCTGGTGGCTAACAGAGAGCATGTGCAAGATCAAATCATATGAAAGTCACATCTTTTGGTGACAAAATTACCTTAGTTAAAATATTACTGTGTAACTGTGTTTATTTAAAAATCACTGTAAGCAATGGTCTTTTTTATTTATTTTCATTTATTCATTATGACTAATTTGTGAATGCTTGTGTTTGTCGCAGTAACAGTCTATACCWAAATAAAGTGATGTTGTTACCTGCCAGCTCTCCCTAGCATCAGTGATTATGCAAACATCTGCATTTCCCAGTTGAACTGTGTCGACGTCTGTATGTGCATGTGCAAGCATCCTCATGTGGGACTGTGAGTGCCAGAAGTGGATGTTCAGGTGTAATGTGATGACCCTCCAAGCTCCTGTTGATAGCTCTCTAGTCAGAAAGTCCATGCAAAAGCTGTGAATAATTGATGCACCTTGGACCAAAAATAGAAGAGAGCGATGGACAGAGAAAGGAAAAAAAGGTAGAGTCAGAAAAGGAGAGATGAGCAAACACACTGAGTGTTGATATAAGGGCGGGAACGCAGTGTGAGGGTCTAAATGAAAAGAAGATGAAGTGAGATCCACCTCTTTCWGTGTGAGAAAGCAGCCATCTATCAAATGTTCGGTCTATAAATGGAGGCGACACAGGCTCTGCTGCTGGGTCTRCATTATTTACAGCCACAGCTTTGCCAAAATGGACACGGGAAAGGCTTTAAAGTAGTGAGCTATGACTTTCTTTGAGATGTCAACTTATATCTGAAATTAGGAAACTGTGAAAACATCTCATTTTACATTGTACATCAGAAAACCTGCCTCCTGATGTTGGAGTTTAACAGATGACAAAATTAGTTCCAAATCAACCTAACGAGCTAAAGATTAGATTTTTATTACAAAAACCAGATGGGGATAGTACCTAAATATATTTACTTTGTTACTGTACTTAAGTAATTTTTTTAAATTTGTAATTTTAACAAGATTTTTTTATTTAGACCATTTTATTTAGATCAACCTCATGAAGAGTTGTTTGTGTACTGTAAAAATATGGTGTTGAATTTACTGAGTTACGTCAACTGGTTCCATTAAATCCAGTTGAGCATCCATCCATCCATCCATGCATCCATCCATGCATCCATCCATCCATCCAGCCATGCATCCATCTATCCATCCATCCATGCATCCATCCATCCATCCATCCATCCATCCATCCATCCATCCATCCATCCATCCATCCATCCATCCAACCATCAGCCGACCATCAATCTATCTATCCATCCGCCCATCTGCCCATCTGTTCATTCTCTATCTTTCATCCATTTTCATCCATCCCTTTGTTCATTTATCTCTCCATCCATCTATCATCCATTCAGTCTTCATCCGTTCATCGACTTATTTATGTTTCTACCAAACTTTTGTTTGTTTTAGATCAAGTAATATGTACATGCATTCAATCCAATTCAATCAAAGTACAATAAAAAACAAAATTACTTTATGGTGTCCTCATTTGTTTTTGTCACTTAACATTATATTGTGTAAATATTACTGTAATATTTCTAAAATTGTTTTTTCATCATGTTGATTCTCTTGATACAACCAAGACAATATTCAAGGGTTGAAGCCAACGCTTACTCAGAAGCCACGAGTGCACAAAAACACTTTTTACAGTGTAATGCACTTTAATATTTTTTCCTGAGGGAACACTGCCAAAAATACATCTTTATTTAACACTTTTTAAATTTAATTTAGATTTTCGTCAAGTCAGTACTTTGAGCAAAGCTTCACAGCGGGGACTTCAGACAGAAGAATCTCTTCTGATTGTCTCTGTGTTTCTCATTCAGTTTTAATTCGAGCTCTCATTGGAACTGAAGCCTCCAACTCTGATTCCTGCTGAGACAAACCTCGTCTGACCCCAGAGAAGAGAGGCTAAAGTTCAACATGACAGAGGGGGATTTGTAGAGTGATAAGACTGGATCAGGACCAGTAATGTCTGGTCCCAATCTGTGAACATACAAGGAAATTACAATCAACAGAAAACCACTGCTGGAGTCTGGAAGTGCCTCTTAAAACAGCAGGTGGTTGGTTGAAAACAGACCAAATCAATTTAACACTAACTTAAACTACTAATGCAGTTGCTGGAGTGGTGTCTGAAACTTTGACTTGAACAGAACTGGGCAGAAACGGGGCAAGAAGATTGTATTTTTTTAAAGGTTTAACTCGATGTCCTGATCCAAACTGGCTTCTCTGGTCTGAAACAGAGAACTGCCAGTTAATCTGCTCTAAGGGTTTAGGTGAAGATTTCTACTTTGAGTGACTCTTTGCAGCTTTAAGGTTAATTTGAGAGACGAGCAGCAGTGCCAGATTAGAAAGAAGTACTCAGACAGAAAAACACGAATGAGTGGTGGCAGCCTGACAGTCTGGGAGACTGAAGGACCCCTGTAGTTTGTTTGTTTCCACTCCCTTTCTGCTGCAGGGCCAAGCCTCTGTCCTGATAAGTGAGAGAAAAGWGGTGAGCCACAATCATTTCATTTATGAAAAGAAATTTTAAATTAAATGGGTTCAAATAGTTTTGGCAAATAGAAGACGAAGACTAACTAGAGAATTAGCATTTTCACAGAAATTGCTAATTGCTTCATGCTGAAAGATTTTTGCAGAAAAAAATTGGAAAGATGAACAAACTTTTAGCAATTTGTTGCAAAATAGCCAGAAAAGCTGRAGTAAGCAGAAAAGTAGCTGAAAGAAAATGTTTTCTGAATTAAGCAGATCAAAAGTAGCTAAACTTATTACAAATGTAGATTTAGCCGAATTAGCTAAAAAATAGTTGAAAATAGCTAAATAGCAGCTTAAATTGCAAAAAAACAGCCGAAAGAATCACAATAAATGTCAATGCTGAAAGA